CTAGTTGGTCAGAAGGGTCAAATCAACGTTTCATATCGTAGTTTGCGAGTAGGCAAAAAGCATCAACCACGGCTGTTATTACACCCCGTATATGTTGGTGGCGGTAATGACCATTTTTATTGTGCTGTAACTAAAACTAGAAGAAGATCTTCTGACGTCTTTTCCCTTCGTCAAAGGTACTTAATCGTATTATTTTTTTTACTGTGATTTCAAAAGCTAATGTAATGGATTTTAAAAAGTGTTTTTACCCCGGGATAGCCCGCTAATATGACCCATAGTAGGGAAGAACATGTATTGAGTGCAATTCGATTTGAATATATAATCCATTTAAAAGGATTTGCAATTTTGCATTAGCAGTCTTTTCGGCTTAAATTTCCCGGGAACCATGGCATGGTGTCATTTCCTGTTTTCGGTGCTAGGCTGCGTGTCCTGTCTCTGTCTTAAATATCAATATTATTCCCGAAGTGTGCAATAGTACACTTTCTCCCATGGATTTAAACTATCTAGCCAATGCTTACACCATTCATATAACCAGGAACCAATATCCAAAGTGGGTACATAGAAAGACTCATTTCATATGATATGCCTGCATTTAAAATGCAAATTAGGGGGTACTTTGGAGGCACTATGGGCAGAGCAAGATCTGATTGGGCCTACAATGACCAAAAAAGGTTGAGAACCACTGGACTAGGCAAGTATTAGATTGTACATTAGAACAATTCCAACAATAATCATCCATTAGCCAAGATGCCCAAAATATTCCTGACCCATGCTTGTTGAAGCCCAAATGTGTCATCACCTGTCTGTAGGCATTTCAGACTACTTAATGTCCATGCGAAGCACAACTTCCTACCCATAACTGTCTTTAGATTCCCTATAAGAAAATAATTTAGAGAAAGCAAAGTAACTCCACTAGTCATGCATTATGATACAGTAGATAATTATGTGTCCTATGTATCAGATCATATTATATCTTCATTTAGAATAAATAATAATAAACGTTTTTCTTTACAGATGCCATCCTGCCATCAACTTGGATCGGTGAGAAAGTTTCTCTGTTCAGTTCTGTTGAACTTAATTTAACCAGGATAGTCCACTCAGTAACAATTGTCACTACTCTGTAGGGAGTACTGGAAGAACAGAGCCGGTTCCCTCTGCAGCAGAAGTTGTGCCCAGCTGCAGTGATGCACCTCCTTCACCAGCTTCGAAAAATGGCAGGCAGCTGATGTTGAGGCCTGGAAGGGGTTGAGGGAGCTACTCCACATGCCTGCAGTGGAACTAGAATGTCCTCCACCCAACGCCATCTGCAGTGTGTGTAGAGTTTTGGAGGAGGCTGAGCTATGGCGCTGTGGGGATTGTGGCTCAGATATATATTTCTGTGCCACCTGTGCTGTGAGAACAAACAAAACTCCCAACATTGTCCACCAGTTGGAGTTATGGAAGGTAATGTATTTTATCTTATGTCAATAAACCAGTCAACTTCTGGCTAAAAAAATGGCTTCCCTGTCAAAAATGTTGATAATGTACATACAGTTCAGTTTCTATAAAAGTTACAGTTCCCTGCAGCAGTAAGGTAAATGTGGCTAAATCTGTCGTGCCAAGCACAGAGTTGATTTGGAGTTTTCTAACAACTTGTGCAATGAAATATCCCCCTGATAGTGTAGTTTCAAATCTGCAGCTACTGTAGTCTGTTCTACAACAACTTTGTGTCTGTCTGTCTGTCTGTCTTAGTCAGTGCAGTTCATCCCATGTGTCCCTGTGGGCCTACGATGGAAGTGGAGGAGACAAGATGACCATGACTGTGAGCTGGAACCTGTCACCCTGATCCACTACAGACTCTGGCCTGCCACCCCCCATCTGCCGCAAACAGCAATTTCAGTGGACCTCCTGCGCCAGTTTGCAGCCCTGCAGCTGGAGTGTGGGGTGTCTTTGAGGGGGATTACCTTTCCATAAATCCAATGTATGCTGGAAGGTAGTTATTGTATTTTAAATTAGAAATCAAACCATACATGTAAGTGTTTTTTACTATGAGGATTATTTTTTAAATATTTTTTTATATCTCCAGACAGTTGAGCTCTACCGGAAGCTCACAAATGAGTAATTTGAGGAGTTCAAACACTGGCAGGTTGAACGAGAGACTGTCAGGAAGTTGGCGCAACTGACCTCTGTTCACAGGTATGTCAATGATAACAATTAAGGAACACCTATAAAGTCTCAGTAAGCTAGGATTCTTATTTGCATTCAGTGTTGTTCATAATTTATAAGGGGAAATATATCCAACCTCAGTTGTCTTTCTTATGCTTTGCAAAAGTATTCGTCCCCCTTGGCGTTTTTTCTATTTTGTTGCATTAAAACCTGTAATTTAAATGGATTTTTATTTGGATTTAATGTAATGGACATACACAAAATAGTCCAAATTGGTGAAGTGAAATAAAAAAAATAACTTGTTAAAAAAAAAATCTTCAAAATAAATAACGGAAAAGTTGTGCGTGCATATGTATTCACCCCCTTTGCTATGAAGCCCCTAAATAAGATCTGGTGCAACCAATTACCTTCAGAAGTCACATAATTAGTTAAATAAAGTCCACCTGTGTGCTATCTAGGTGTCACATGATCTGTCACATGATCTCAGTATATATACAGCTGTTCTGAAAGGCCCCAGAGTCTGCAACACCACTAAGCAAGGGGCACCACCAAGCAAGCGGCACCATGAAGACCAAGGAGCTCTCCAAACAGGTCAGGGACAAAGTTGTGGAGAAGTACAGATCAGGGTTGGGTTATAAAAAAATATCAGAAACTTTGAACATCCCACGGAGCACCATTAAATCCATTACAAAATTGAAAGAATATGGCACCACAACAAACCTGCCAAGAGAGGGCCGCCCACCAAAACTCACGGACCAGGCAAGGAGGGCATTAATCAGAGAGGCAACAAAGAGACCAAAGATAACCCTGAAGGAGCTGCAAAGCACCACAGCGGAGATTGGAGTATCTGTCCATAGGACCACTTTAAGCCGTACACTCCACAGAGCTGGGCTTTACATAAGAGTGACAAGAAAAAGCCATTACTTAAAGAAAAAAATAAGCAAACACATTTGGTGTTCGCCAAAAGCCATGTGGGAGACTCCCCAAACATATGGAAGAAGGTACCCTGGTTAGATGAGACTAAAATTGAGCTTTTTGGCCATCAAGGAAAACGCTATGTCTGGCGCAAACCCAACACCTCTCATCACCCCGAGAACACCATCCCCACAGTGAAGCATGGTGGTGGCAGCATCATGATGTGGGGATGTTTTTCATCAGCAGGGACTGGGAAACTGGTCAGAATTGAAGGAATGATGGATGGCGCTAAATACAGGGAAATTATTGAGGGAAACCTGTTTCGGTCTTCCAGAGATTTGAGACTGGGACGGAGGTTCACCTTCCAGCAGGACAATGACCCTAAGCATACTGCTAAAGCAACACTTGAGTGGTTTAAGGGGAAACATTTAAATGTCTTGGAATGGCCTAGTCAAAGCCCAGACCTCAATCCAATTGAGAATCTGTGGTATGACTTAAAGATTGCTGTACACCAGCGGAACCCATCCAACTTGAAGGAGCTGGAGCAGTTTTGCCTTGAGGAATGGGAAAAAATCCCAGTGGCTAGATCTGCCAAGCTTATAGAGACATACCCCAAGAGACTTGCAGCTGTAATTGCTGCAAAAGGTGGCTCTACAAAGTATTGACTTTGGGGGGGGTGAATAGTTATATACGCTCAAGTTTAAATTGTTTTGATCTTTTTTCTTGTTTGTTTCACAATAAAAACTATTTTGCATCTTCAAAGTGGTAGGCATGTTGTGTAAATCAAATGATACAAACCCCCAGAACATCCATTTTAATTCCAGGTTGTAAGGCTACAAAATAGGAAAAATACCAAGGGGGTGAATACTTTCGCAAGCCACTGTATTCTATCATTGCTTTGCCAAACAGTAGTAATGTTATGCGGCAATACCATTGCAAGCCTCTCAAAAACCCAACCCTTCGTTCAAGTCGTGGGAGGCGGAAACAGGTAAAGTATGGGATTGTGGGTGGCTTTGCTACCAAGGCCGCTACGGTTGCCATGAAGGCCTGTCTGGATCCACAACATGCTGGATAACGGGGATCTGGTAAAGCTAGGTGGACCAATCATCTGCTTAGTGGATACTACCGATTACAGATACGTTCACGAAGAAACTACAGCGTAAATTACCTATGTTTCCCAAAGAGCACAAGGGTTTAAGTAATACCCTTGCAAATGTCCATTCTCTGTATACCTAATAATTTTGTATAATTAATTATTTGCATTATTATTTTAAAGGAAAACGGTCATCAAATTATTGCAGCTGATGCCCTATTTGGGCTTCCCAGAAAAAGATTGTCTGGGACCAGCATTGAGGGTCCCAAATATGCTGGGTGGTTCTTTTGTGACCAAGACAAAGTTGACTGCTTTGTAGGAGGAGCATCAGACACACCAACTGAGGTATACTGGATTTTGAAGAATGGGATGTATCTCACAATCAGTTAGTTTCACTAGCCCTCTTGTGTGACTTGTGTGTTTGTGTGTATTAACAACAGCTGGGCTGCTAATGTTGGAGAAGTTTAAAGGTTTGATTGAAATCAGGAGAAGCCATTTAACCTTGGTGATGCGACTCTGCCATTGGACTATTCTGTCCATAATGTTTTTTAAATTGAACAGATTGGATGAAACATGAACTGCTTAGTGAATGTGACTTTTTTCCTATGCTCATGATGCTGACTGTCAGGTAATGAATACTTTATCATTTATTCTGTTAAACACCAATTCTTTGTAGTTGCACAGTTGCCCTAACAATATTAAGAAATAGCTAGTTGTAATTTGTCCTAGTCCCTTAATTAATCATCGTCACCCATTGTAATGCTCATTATGGTTTCTGATTGTACTTTACATTTCAGGTCACTGACGGTACCAGGTATGTGACTGGTAGTGGGCTGACGGAGAACAGATGGAGAGGTTGTGGTCCTACCTTAGAACATTTGGGAAGATCACAAAAGAGATGACACCATCTCATCGTGTTGACACCCTCACCGATGCCCTCCTCTACTACGCAGCCAGGGTCAGGGAGAAGCAAGGTATAAATGTAGAACTGGAAATCAGTTAAGTATTGTGACGACCCATTGTTCAGGATTGTGTTGATATCATTTTTTTAAAGAAAACGCTGATGTATTTTAAACAATCTATGAAATGTATGTTCACCTTCATATGTAATAGCACCAGTAATACAACTCTGTCTGCAGAAGGTCCTGAAGGAGGAAACCGAGGCAAAGGAGGAGTTGATGGTGCTACTTAACAGCATTCCGGGTTAGATTCCATGTGTTTTGCTCATAATTTTTGTTAATATGTAATTATCCTTTTCTGCTAATTCAATCAGATGAATTGGAAGCAGGGCTTCAGTAGCTGGAGTCAAGGCTTTCTCCTACAGAGCTCCTCTTTATGGAATGATTTGCTGATGTGAGAGAATCAGACTCAGTCTCAACTTCAAGTCTAGACTGAAGACTTCTCTCTTCAGTCAGTCCTATGATTGAGTGTAGTCTGGCCCATGGGTGGGAAGGTGAACAGAAAGGTTCTAGTCCCCACAACACACCCCACCCATAAACCTTGACTTCCTTAAACCTGAAAGCCATCTGAGCCTAGAATCTTGAAATGTTTGCACCCTCTATAGCCATTATGGTCTTTACCTGACCCTGCTGGTCATCTATGAACATTTGAACGTTTTTTTGTGTGCTCTATCCTGTTCTGATTATCCACCAGTCTGACAAGCATGCACACCATGAACCGCTTGTATTGTGCTTCTGCCTCTGCATTGCTCTTTGGGGTTTTAGGCTGGGTATCTGTAAAGCACTTTGTGATGCTGTTTTACAACTGCTGATGTAAAAAGGGCTTTATAAAATATATTTGATTGTTTTGATGATTAATTCCTTGCTGTGGTTTCACTGACAATTTGATATTTTAGTAAAATTCCTAATAAGATATTTTTCACTAACTTGTGAGCATTGCACATGTAGAACACAGCACAACTGCCAGTGTGGTTTATTTTGTTCTGCAATATATTTAATTAGACCCTTGATTATGTTGGAGGCAGCACACAGTCAGATGTGGAAGTTTGGACCCGTCAGATAAAGGAGACCCTCACAGACAAGAGGACATTGTTCCTTACCTGGCAGGAGAGATACGTGGAAACTCTCGCAGAGCAACATCGAGTTGCGTAAGTAGTTGCTACATCTCTGACCTAAGGTTTTATCCCATCTCTAAACACCCCTTTCTGTCTGGCTTAGCCCTACCAGTCATGACTGCCACGTTCCTATACCCTACTGTGTCCTGGTCCCACAATCTCTTGGATCTCCATAGCTACTCCCTGTTACTTTATACTCTTATCACCACCTCCTGCTGTCACCTGCCCCTTTTCACTACATATCCCAGAAACATCAGTTCCCCCCCTCCCCTGATTAATCTATTCTACATAATAATAATAATAATAATAATAATAATAATATGCCATTTAGCAGACGCTTTTATCCAAAGCGACTTACAGTCATGCGCGCATACATTTTTACGTATGGAGTCTTCTGACCTGCACACCAACACTTCACGCTGCATAATCCACTCCACACTCAAATCTACACTCAAATGGGTTTTGCCTTCGTATCTGGTTAGTTTTATGTTGAGATGCTTTCATACTGTTATATTTTCGCTTATATATTTGTATAATATTTTCTAGGTCTAACATGATGTCCCCGTCAATCACCGATGATAGGAACGCTCAGTTGACTACTCAGCTTGAAAAGTAAATCGCTTTTTTAGGATGTCGTCTCCATCATATTTGTCCCACTGTATTGGGGCTAGTCAATATAGGTTTTAAACCTTTTAACAAATGTTCACATTTCAGCCTGGAGAAAAGGTTGAAGGCCATGGAGAAGAGACACCGGATTGTACGCTGGTCTCTTCAACACTGTGCAGCAATTTTGGAAAGTCTGCAGACTAAGAAGAGTCACTGTCTGCTGGCCACAATCTATAGGCTTGTCCTGGCGCGCTCTTTCTATTGTGGCCTGGTCAGAAAGTATGTAGGTACAGCAGCCAATTCAGTGTTGTTGAACACTGCATCACACCCTGGCATATCACTGCTGTTGTTATCTCATTCACCCAGGTGCTTTGAACTATATGAAAGATTTCTATCAAACTTCAAGATTTTCATTACCATTTCTTAAAATTGTTTTTCAGATGGACAAACCATTGCTGTGCGTCTCTCCAGAAAAATCAAGCGGACATCGGATAAACAGAATAAACAGCAGAACAACACCTACAATGGAAGGAACAAGTCACCTCAATTCCCGCCAAGACTGGAGTATGTGGATGTTCTCCAGCAAGACCATCCAGTCTGGTCCCAGGTGTCCAACAGCTTGGGGGACAGTCTGCTCCGGGCAAAGCAGCATGCGGTGATGCTGCATTACATGTGCCTTAGGGCAGCGGAGGAGAGGGACCTTATACAAGCAGACCTACAAAATGGCCTTTTGCATTGCCGGCAAGAGCTGGGGCTTTTTGAAGAGGCCCTTGCTTCTCTTGGGTAGTGTGAGGCCGAGCCAACACGCTTTCACCTGGGTGCCTCTGTGCTGCTCCGAAATAAAATGCAGAACATATTAAAGCTCCAGCAAGCATTTTCAATGTTGGCTGGTGATGGCTCGGTCAGCACAGATGTAGAGGAGGACAGTGATGCAGAAGATGAAAGTGGTTGAGGAATGAATGTCTGTCTGTGTGTGCGTGTGAGTACTATAGGGACAAACTATACACTGAGTATTCCAAACATTAGGAACACCTTCCTAATATTGAGTTGCACCCCCCCCCTTTGCCCTCAGAACAGCCTCAATTTGTCAGGGCATGGACTCTACAATGTGTCGAAAGCGTTCCACAGGGATGCTGACCCATGTTGACTCCAATGCTTCCCACAGTTGTGTCAAGTTGGCTGGATGTCCTTTCGGTGGTGGACCATTCTTGATACACGTGAAACTGTTGAGTGTGAAAAACCCAGAAGCGTTACCGTTCTTTACAAAAGTTCTGAACCCTTCTATTCTCATTGTTTCTACAGATTGTAAATTGAAAATAAACATTTTTGCTAAAATATTATTATATTATTGATCGATTGACTATGACTTTTCAGATCACCCAGTAGTGTGATCTGCAGGGTTAGCTCCAGGTAAATATTGCAATGGCCCATGTTGATTCCAATGCTTCCCATAGTTGTGTGAAGTTGGCTGGATGTCCTTTGGGTGGTGGACCATTCTTGATACACACAGGAAAATGTTGAGCGTGAAAAACCCAGCAGCGTTGCAGATCTTGACACAAACCGGTGCGCCTGGCACCTACTACCATACCCCTTTCAAAGGCACTTAAATATTTTGTCTTGCCCATTCACCCTCTGAATGGCACACATACACAATCCAAGTCTCAATTGTCTCAAGGCTTAGAAATCCTTCTTTAACCTGTCTCCTCCCCTTCATCTACACTGATTTAAGTGGATTTAACAAGTTACATCAATAAGGGATCATAGCTTTCACCTGGATTCACCTGGACGGGAGATGACAAGTGCCTGGATTAGGACCTGTGCCGCTTTCTGTGTAAGGTAGGGTCGTACTCTGCGAATGTTGTAGAACATGAACCTGCAGGATCGGGTCACCGCTTTGATGTTAGTGGAGAACGACAGGGTGTTGTCCAGGGTCACGCCAAGGTTCTTTGCACTCTGGGAGGAGGACACAATGGAGTTGTCAACCGTGATGGCGAGATCATGGAGCGGGTAGTCCTTCCCCGGGAGGAAGAGCAGCTCCGTCTTGCCGAGGTTCAGTTTGAGGTGGTGATCCGACATCCACACTGATATGTCTGCCAGACATGCAGAGATGAGATTCGCCACCTGGTTATCAGAAGGGGGAAAGGAGAAAATGAATTGTGTGTCGTCTGCGTATGATAGGAGAGACCATGTGAGGATATGACAGAGCCAAGTGACTTGGTGTATAGAGAGAATAGGAGAGGGCCTAGAACTGAACCATGGGGGACACCAGTGGTGAGAGCACGTGGTGCGGAGACAGATTCTCGCCACGCCACCTGGTAGGAGCGACCTGTCAGGTAGGACGCAATCCAAGAGTGAGCAGCGCCGGAGATGCCCAACTCGGAGAGGGTGGAGAGGAGGATCTGATGGTTCACAATATCAAAGGCAACGGATAGGTCTAGAAGGATAAGAGCAGAGGAGAGAGAGTTAGCTTTAGCAGTGCGGAGAGCCTCCGTGACACAGAGAAGAGCAGTCTCAGTTGAATGACCAGTCTTGAAACCTGACTGGTTTGGATCAAGAAGGTCATTCTGAGAGAGATAGCAGGAGAGTTGGCTAGAGACGGCACGCTCAAGAGTTTTGGAGAGAAAAGAAAGAAGGGATACTGGTCTGTAGTTGTTGACATTGGAGGGATCGAGTGTAGGTTTTTTGAGGAGGGGTGCAACTCTCGCTCTCTTGAAGATGGAAGGGACATGGCCAGCGGACAAGGATGAGTTGATGAGCGAGGTGAGGTAAGGGAGAAGGTCTCCGGAAATGGTCTGGAGAAGAGGAGAGGGGATAGGGTCAAGCGGGCAGGTTGTTGGGCGGCCGGCCGTCACAAGTCGCAAGATTTCATCTGGAGAGAGAGGGGAGAAAGAAGTCAAAGCATAGGGTAGGGCAGTGTGAGCAGGACCAGCGGTGTCATTTGACTTAATAAATGAGGATCAGATGTCGTCAACCTTCTTTTCAAAATGGTTGACGAAGTCATCCACAGAGAGGGAGGAGGGAGGGTGACGAGTAGGAGTATTCAGCAGGGAGGAGAAGGTGGCAAAGAGCTTCCTAGGGTTAGAGGTAGAGGCTTGAAATTTAGAGTGGTAGAAAGTGGCTTTAGCAGCGGAAACAGAGGAAGAGAATGTAGAGAGGAGGGAGTGAAAAGATGACAGGTCCGCAGGGAGTCCAGTTTTCCTCCATTTCCGCTCGGCTGCCCGGAGCCCTCTTCAGCACCAACTACAGGCCCTGTTCCAGCTCCACTCCCATCTCCAGGCCCAGCTCCACTCCCATTTCCAGCTCCACTCCCAGCTCCAGGCCCAGCTCCACTCCCAGCTCCACTCCCAGCTCCAGGCCCAGCTCCATCTCCAGCTCCGGCTCTAGACCCAGCTCCACTCCCATCTCCAGCTCCAGCTCCACTCCCAGCTCCAGGCCCAGCTCCATCTCCAGCTCCGGCTCTAGACCCAGCACCACCCCCAGCTGCAAACAGATATTCTAAAATCAAAAATGTGCTCCATCTTTTCATAATCAGCAGACAAGTGGTGGATGGCCATTATAGTAAAGCCCACCGTTGCCCTTTAGTGAAAGCAGTGGCCACAATGGGTATCTGTTCAAAGGGAATGTCCTGATTGTCTAAAGTAATGGGTCAAGTCACTGCCTGTACTGTACATGTCAATGTTGTTCATCTCAATGACCAAGACATTACAATTTTGCATTGAAACATTGTAGAGAGCATTCACTGCATCTTACTTATTGTAAACTTGATGCCACGGCCTGCCTCCAAAATGGAAGATAGTTGGTCTATGCCATAGTGGGAGGACTTTTTTAACTCTATCCCACCTGGCATGCCCTCTACTTCAATGACCACCTTCTTGGCAGCCACAGCCAATAATGGAACTCTGCCCTGTCCACCTGCTTCATCTAAACAGAAACAGAAATAAGGCTTTAGTGAAGGAATATCAAGTGTACACATTATTCCAAGCTTCTACCAGTGATCCAGAAATCCAGAAATCTGCTGACTTGAATATCAACAATGTAAACCAACAAGGCCCAGCTACCACATCTGTTTATGTTAGCCCTTGTATCCAGAACTCTGCCTGTGAATTTGTGGTTACATTTTTTAAGCTTGCTTAAAAGCGGAGCAGGACTGTTATTTAATTGTTGAATCACAGATATACAGTACATTTTAATAGTTATTTCAAATAAAATGGTACATACTATACTTCTGGTTGAATAAGGCTTGTACTCCATGCACCCTAGCCTTGTCAAACCCCTTTGACTGTGAAGCTGCAGGTTTGCCTAGATGTAACAATAAAAGAGGCACAGTGCTGTATGAGTGTGCTTAAAGGCATTATAGATGTACAGATGTAGGATCTTAATTTGAGTCCGTTTTCTACAGCAGGAAAATAATCCAGCAGTAACAGGAAATGTGATATGTGGATTATAATAAATTGACATTTTGTCAGGAGGTTGATACATTTATCGCAAGGGGAAATCAAGTCTGACATTTCTAAGTGGAAATTACAAACTTCAGAAGCCTTTTCAAACCTCAAATACACTACAAGTTAAAAATGTCCTGCATTGCAGATAAGTTTTCCTGCCACAGGGTGATCAAATTAATATCCTACATTTACATTTACGTTTACATTTACGTCATTTAGCAGACGCTCTTATCCAGAGCGACTTACAAATTGGTGCATTCACCTTATAGCCAGTGGGATAACCACTTTACACATTTTTTGGGGGGGTGGGGTGGGGTAAGGGGGGGGTTAGAAGGATTACTTTATCCTATCCCAGGTGTTCCTTAAAGAGGTGGAGTTTCAAATGTCTCCGGAAGGTGGTGAGTGACTCCCCTGTCCTGGCGTCGTGAGGGAGCTTGTTCCACCATTGGGGTGCCAGAGCAGCGAACAGTTTTGACTGGGCTGAGCGGGAACTGTATGCTTGAGATGAAATGTTACCAAAGTTATGTTTTTAATATGTGTACCAGAAAAGTGTACAGAAAACTTGCCGATCAGATCCTGGCCCTCAACAAATTCCTTTCCCCTCCCAGATGAGGCTGTGCTGACTGGTATGGGGTCCTCGGGGTTGTGGACAAGGAATGCTGTGTCGACCCCCATACCTTCCAACTCGATAACCTAACAAAAAATGATGTAGTAATAGACAAGATAAATAATAAGTGAAATTAGATGTAAAAAAAAAACAATACCTAAAAATGCTTATAGGGAAAGAGTTGGCAAAAAGACTGAAATCCCTTTGTAAGAAAAATGCCTGTTCTCTGGATCTTAAATCTGTATCTCAAATCTAAATCCAACTATCAAATCCCAAAACATTACTTTTTTAAAGTAAAAGTTTCCAAATGTCATGATTTACTATTGTAACCTTAAAGTATATATTCCCACCATTGATTTCAGCCGTCTTAAATAATCTTTGACTTTTAAGGCCTTCAGGTTCCCCTTCAACTCCTTACCTCCTGCCTGTAGCTTGTCTGCCTCCTCACTGTAATGGGCTTTTGTGGCAGGTGGTAATGCCTGCCATTTGCCCTGTGTACCTGCCATAACTCCTGACATACAACAGAAAACATGACAATGTCAGTGACATTGTTTTATTTATCTATTCTATCAAGGCATTACGACAACAAAACATTTACTTGTTGAAACAAAGTCGAAATAGGTGTCAGAATGAGTCAGTAGACATTATAATTTGTTGTTAGACCCATAAAGTTTTGAAGAGAAACTGTGGTATCTGAACAATTTATGACTTTGCTAATGGTTGCAAATGGTCTTAGAGGATGTTGACTTAGCTTAAGGGAGCATCTGGAGAGTAGTTCTATAGGGGCACCCTAAAGCAGAGGAAGTCTGTTAGGTGGAGTCCTGGGATTGGTCTGTAGGGGAAAACACCCATATCAGGTTACATAGGATATATACTATGGTTTGGGACAAAAGAAGGGGAGAATAACATATTAGAGATTGGAGCCGGTTATTCTCCAGATATCGGCAGATATCTGTAAATTGACGCTGGAATCCTTTAATATAATAAACCTTTATAATCAAAGTACAGTGTCAGCAGATTTCCTGGTTCTCACAGCATAATTAGCATCGTTTTCTCGACACTACAATAATGGCGACGAGGTATTTGGGTCGTGTTGCGTCTTTTCTCAGCGTTCCATTCATGGGCGCCGAGCTGACTCTCGCTCCAGAGTCCGGCAGATAAGGGTGAGTTTTCTCACCACTTTGGGCACTGGTCAGTTCGTGTGTCTGCGTGTGTGTGCGTTGAATGAATGCACCGTTAAGAACTTGCGTGTGTGCTTTGCTGTTATTTGCTGTGGGGTAAGAGTCCGTTCAAAATTTCTAAATTTGTTTGCGCTGGTAACAACGCAAACAGGGGGGAGTGTCTATAGGGATATTTTGCTTGAATAAAATTCAAAAAGAATACAATGAAGGAAAGGCCAGGAACTAAGGAAAAATGTATACAAATTAGGACATCGCAGATCTATGTTAAGCCCTCAAACGAGGCGATCATTAGGATGGGCCGAAAATCCTAAAAGCGCATTAGGTGGGTTTAGGTCAGTCCTGGGGACTGGGGTTGTGGTATATACATTCGATTGCAAGTTACCGCTCGACTTATAGTTGACGAAGTATATGTTTGATGTAACCGCTCATTATATAATGCTAAGGTAGTGGGTTCGATCCCCGGGACCACCCATACACAAAAAAATAAAATAATGTATGCACGCATGACTGTAAGTCGCTTTGGATAAAAGCGTCTGCTAAATGGCATATTATTATTTATTATTATTATATATTCGCGAACTCGTGGTAGCACAAATTTAGGAACAAAGGAAAAAATGGCACGATGGTAGTAGCATGCTTAGGGGTCCATAGGAACGGAAATAAGCCTCTTAAACTGTATGTGTGTGTGTGTGGAAGAGAGTAGGATTTGTGTTCTATGTTTTGTGTTGGTTTGTGAGTTCTGTTAAGTGTTACTGTTTGTCTATGGGGGGAAAGAACGGAGCGACAGCTGGTCTGTCTACTTTCTGTTGTTTAGGCTTGGAGAGAGCTGCTTGGGAGCTCCTTCCACTCTGAAATCGCATTGTGAATGAACTACGCATGCGTGTGATTTTATGAGTATAGAGTTACGTAGAGCAAATGTGTCACTCCCCTGCCTGCACTGAGCTGCTGGGAGACGCAGACTCAGAGCAGACAGAGAGGGAGGGGGAGATTTAAACACAAATGGAGTGTTCTGTTTGTTAAATCGGCTGTTGCTTAACGATGAAACTATTTGATTGAGATCTATTGAATTGATAAATGAGAGATATGTTGACGGATTAAAAATAAAAAATTAAATTAAATAAATAAAATTTAATGTTATTGAGCTATTTATACTATTCCTGAGTTAAGCTGTTTACTTATTTCTTAGAGCGAATGTGAACAGAGGGGTATTGAATGGTTGAAATAACCCAGTGAGTGCATAAAATACTAAATTATTGTCTGTTCTTTGTTCTTCTGTCATATGAGAGATGATGAGGAGGAGACAGAGAGAGAGAGGAGGTGCTGACGAGTGCATCATGCGACAGAGTGTGCTGCAACGGATCAAGTCAAATCAAGGCTAGTACTGTTCTATTCACAAAACTTACCTTCCCATGGAGGATATTTTGGGTGCCTAGCATATTTGATGTTATGACAATTTGACAAGGACTTGGCAACAGACTGATCAATTGATGTAATTAAGAATTGCATTTTGGATTTTTTTGTGAATGAGTGGGTTTGATTAGAGTTGAGTGGGAAATCGAGCACTGACATTATTCTGTAAAATTAAGGTAATTGGGTGCTTATTAGGCAATTGATTTGTGAGTACTGTAGTGTTGCTGGATTATAGGTCTTTCTTTTTTGGATTGCTCTAAGGTGACTACTTTCATTTACTTTCCTGATCGGATGTGGTAAGATTGCCACTAATCAATAATTTGGTAAAATAAAATAAAATAAATTGATACAAATAAGTAAATTGATGAATAAATTAATAAATTAATTATTTAATTTGGGGGGAAAAAAAAAAAAAGAGGGAACTATAGGCTACATAGTCTAAAATAATAAAGGAATATAAAAGAGTTGTTACAAGGGGGAAAAGGGACATAAAAACTATGAAAGTAATTACTCCTGTTGATGTAGTAGAAAATAGTAATCCTTTAGTTAATGGTATTGCAAGGTTATCTGGAAAAGGGAATAAACGTTGGCGTGACATTGAACAACCATGGCTAGTGGAAGGGACTCTTAACCCTGACGTCATCAACATGATGAAAGTGCTTGTATAATAGAGAGAGGAAAAGCAGAAACGACCATAAAGATGAATCCAAACTCCAAAAGTAAGAAGAAAACGAGATGTCTGGAAACTAAGGGTGGAGTGAGGTTCAGGAGGATGGAACTTGAAGATGATGATGATGATGGATCAGAGTGATTCAGAAGAGATCATGGGTGGATATGACTATGTGATCAGAAGGAAGTT